AGTCCTAGGAATTGAGGACATTCTGAAGGTGGGTAAAGGGAGGAAGTTCTCCCCTGTGAGGGCTTGAGCAGCAGTCAGTGCTTGTAAAGGAGAGTGTGCAGCCTGCTGGACACTCAGGGGTGATGGTGTCTCTTATATTTACTGAGGTCATGTCAGTGTGGGTAGAAGAATCGCTCATCTTATACTGAGTGGAAATTATGATCATGTGGGAGTGAATTAAATAATCCATAAGTGTAGAAGTATAAGTAAAATTTTTCTGACATTTTTGGTTCTATTTGTGGAAAAAAGGGAGACTCTGTGTGGTGAAAACATTAGGAGTCTTGAACTTTTATTCTTTTCCAAAAATAATAATAATCATATCCGTCCTGGCTCCTCCTGAGCTTCTGTTTCCATGATGGGGACAGAGCTGTGGTCAGGGCTGGCTCACAGGGAGCATAGAGGGGAGCAGAGCTCACGGCACGAAGCTTTACACATCTGCACACTGCTGTGACCCAGCGCCTTGGACACCTGTCATTGTGTGGTGATGACATTTGAAATAGCCCATTATTATTAGCCATACTGACAGGACACCAAGATTTATTCTTCCTATGTGGCTTCCATTGGTGGTATTTTTTTGAAAGTTTGTTCTGTTCTGCCTCTAATGTGATCGGTAGCTCATTAAAGGTGTTGGTGAGATAAGATACAGTAAAAAGATAAATTTAGGCCTAGTGCTGTGGATCATGCCTATAATCTCATACTTTGGCAGGCTGAGACAGGAGTGTTGCTTAAGGGCAGTTGGAGTCTGCACGGAGCTATGATGATGCCACTGCATGCTAGTCTGGTAGACTGGGCCCAGAGCAAGACGCTGCCTCCAAAAAAAAAAAAGTAAGCTTAAAGTCTTGCAGTACTCCACCATTTAGAGGTGATTGCCACCAATGTTAAAAATGTTTTCTAGTTTTTCCCATGCAGATTGTATCTGGCAAACCTCCTTAGCTTTAGGACTGTCCTCTTATCCACTCTCAGTTCTATAGGTGGAAATATCCCTCTTTTTTTGTTTTTTTTTATTCCGCTGCCACTTCTCTGAAATATTTCTCTTTTGCTTTACTTGGATTCTTGTTAGGTTGTGCACAGTGATGACCCCTCCTGTCCCTGCTCCTTTATCTTCTGACCCTGTCCGAGTCTGTCTGTTCAGGTCTCTGTCCCTAGGCTGTCAGCTGGCCGTGGACCAGGGTGCCTGGTAGGTCTGCTTTGAGCATGGCTTGTTTGCAGTTGTGATAGAGGTCTCATTGTGAACATGTGTGTTAAATGAAACCTTTTCTCACATCTTAAAATATTTTTTCAGTGTTTATTCCAAATATCTTAGAGCAGTGGTTCTCAACCTTCCTCAAACCATGGCCCTTTAATACAGTTCCTGTGGGTAGCCACCCACAGGTTGAGAACTGCTATCTTAGAGGTTCTTGATTTGTTTGTACTATCTTCCAGAAACACTGGAGTCAGTTACCAAAGTATGTTCCCTTACCATGAAAATATCTTCAGACCAGGATTTAGGAGACTTGGGCTCTATTCTGACTTACTTTTGATACCCTGCGTGACCTTAGACAACAAAAAATCATACTTAGCTCACTCAATCCAAATCAGATTAAAGCAGCAGCTCCCAAGCTGTCTGTCCTGCAGGGGACATTTTTGGCTTGCTGGACTCTTGCATCTGGGAGGATGCTTCCCAGCATCTGGCCCAAAGCATCACTGGTACTGAGTTTGAGAATCATCGAGGTAAAGATGCCTCCCAGTTTGGGTTTCCTTGGAGATTCCAGCAGTAGTTGTTATTTCCATTTGCTGTTTTCTGGGATGGACACTCACCGCATGCTGTGTTTTTGTTACTGCTTTTAGAGGCAGGTAGAGGGGCTTTATGCTGTATTAGCTGCTTTCCATTAAAGTGAAGCTGTTCTTTTTTTTTGCAGTTTTTGTCCGGGGGCTGGGTTTGAACCCGCCACCTCCAGCATATGGGGCTGGCGCCCTACTCTTTTGAGCCACAGGCACTGTCCTCATGTTTGTTTTTAATAGTTCTCCAGGTTAGGAGCAGCTTTGGTAAACCAAGCCAGCACAGGAGCATGAAGACACAAAAATCTCCTTCCATCCTCCCAAAACACATGCATGCTGCAAGTGTCCATCAGGAATCCGCGTCCTTTGGACTCTTGAGTGCAGAGTGTGGGAACGGTGCTTCAGACAAGTCTGGGTGTCCTGGGAGCCGCCTCCTGTCCTGGGCTGTTTTTCCCTCACAGAGTCGGCACTTGGGATGTATTTCTAGGAGGGAGCTGGTGTCTGGATGGGCTTGTGGTAAAATGGAAGGGGTGGGGTTTCTTGGTTTTGTTTTCATTTATATTGGTTGTATTCTTGAAGATTTCAGTAGCTCTCTCTAGGGAGATGATACTGTTTCATTCTGTTTTCTTTATGGTTACTGTAGTACAACCTTTCCCTTTTAAAACGCTTGGTGAAAATGAAAATCACCTCATTATTTTCCTGCACTGTGTTTTTTGTTTTTTCTTTTTCTTTTTAAGACAGTGACTCTCTCTGTCACCCAAATTGAGTGCAGAGGCGTCATCACAGCTCACGGCAGCCTCTAGCTCCTGGGCCCACGTGATCTTCCCGCCTCAGCCTCTCAGGTGTTGGGATTACAAACTTGAGTTCCTGCTCTTTTTCTGTAGTTTAAAATTTAATATAATTCTTAATTTTGAAATTAGCTTTTAAAAAAATTATGTTATTAGAAATGTTAATTGTGTTTATATGTCAAGACTGTTAAGTATAAGAAGTTTGAAGAGCTTCTAAAAATCTGATATAATGATTCTTCAAAATTATATGTAGTTGTTTGTTCTTTTTTTGCTGTCCTTTGGAATTTACCTTCTCACTTTTGTCACAGCTCATAGGAACCTCAAACTCCTGGGCTCAAGCCATTCTCTTGCCTCAGCCTCCTGAGTAGCTGGGACTACAGGCACCCACCACAACACCTGGCTATTTTTAGAGGTGGGGTCTCCCTCTTGCTTAGTCTGTTCTCCAGCCTGGGAGCTCATGCAATCCACCTGCCTTGGCCTCCCAAAGAAAAATAAGCTTTTGTCTCTGTACTTTATATTCCTGGTTGTAAATTATAGAAATAAATTATTTCAGTTAATCAGAAAATGGAAGAATGACTCCTACTGCTGGTGTCCTGCCTTCTGTTTCCCTGTGAAGTTGGCTGGGAGGTGGTTGTGGTGGGCAGGGGCTGTGCAGGCTCAGTTTGGGTTCTGTAGTGATTGTTAGAGTAGAAATATGAGAACCCGTATCTGTCCCCAGCACTGTGGGAAGCTCAGCACCTTCCCAGTTGGTGCTCCTTGCCCATACCAGTGCTACCAAAGGGAACCATTATTTTGAATTTTATAATTTTTATTTTTTTTTGGCCAGGTCCGGATTTGAACCCACCACCTAAGGCATATGGGGCTGGCACCCTACTCCTTACTCTACTCCTTGAGCCATAGGCACCGCCCACTTTTATAATTTTTAAAAGATTTTTACTGAAGTTTTACCCTATATATAGTAAATGAAATGTTACATTTCATGTACTTTTGAGACCTATAGGTATATTTGATATATTCCTCTTTTTTTTTTTTTTTT